AATTACAAGAAAAATGTTTAAATTGTGACTTAATCTCGTTGAATTCATGCAATGTAAGTGTTTCAATGGAAATAGTGGAATTTAGGAGAAAAGAGCCGAAAAAGGACTAAAATGGAGCAAAGTGATAGTTTAGGGACCAAAGTGCAATTATCCAAAAGATGATCCGAAGGACAAATCAAGGAAGTGAATGAGCTAAGTACCAATTTGGTGATATTATGAGATGATGGAAATAAAAGAAACAAGTAAAAAGGACCAAAATGAATCAAACTGAAAGTTTGGGGACCAAGTTGCAAATAATCCATAGATGAGACGGGAAATGGAATGAATATTCAAGAGTCTTAGAGGTCAATCGGATGAGGAAAGGAGTCAAAGAGGTGAAATATGGTCGAAGTATTATCAAGTATCAACTTTCAGGCGAAAAAGCTATGCTCGTGATTTTTAGTCTCTATTTGAGATCCATTTTTGGCATAGTAAAAATCAGAACTTGAGAAATCCTATTTCTATCAAAAGTGTAGATCCTTGAGTTTTCTTCAGAATTCACTTTGAATCACTTCAATCGGAGATCAGGAGAGAACGTTATGACCAAAATACTAAAAGTTGTCCAGCGAAAAGAATGACATAACCATGCGGTTGAATAGTAGAAACTCCTATGCGGTCGCATAAAGGCACCCCGAGAAATTATTCTCAAATCATTTTTACTCTATTCTATCGCATAGAAATGTACTATGCGGTCGCATAGAGCAATTCGGAGGCCGAATCTGCAGTTTCCTTATTTCGCCGAAACTCTTATGGAAACAAGATTTTTAGGGTCCTATATAAATAAAAACTCGACTAGAACGAAAGGGACACCGATCTTACAAGAAAAAAGGAGATTTTGAAGGAGAAAATGAAGAGAGAATTGGAGGAAAACATCGCGCCAATTGAAGAACTGATTGAAACTTGATTCGGGTGATGATGTTTCTTCAACTATTTTTGTATTTTCTTCTTTTCAGTATGTTAAGCTAGATTTTCATGTGCTAGGAGATCGATATACCATGTAATTTGATCATTAATTTTCTAGTTTTACAATTTGACATTAAGACATTTCTATTGTTTTGAATGATTTATATGCAATTATTATTTTCGCGATTAAGGCCCGTAATTGTGTGAGTTTGGGTGATTTATTCTTGCATTCGAGATAATCGGAATAGCTTCGACATAATATAAATCATCGTAAGGTCTGATAGGGGATAGAAATATACCGTTATGCCCTACATGAATCTTTAAGTGTTTATAAAATCGCATGCATTTTTACTTATGCACTTGTCATAGAAATATAGGCTGGCGGTATGTAGAAATAGGTTCGATACATCTCGAGAGAGAATATTGGATAGACTTAGGAACATTAATTCGTCACAATTGAAGTGTGTTATCACATTGTGAAACTAGGGTTTTAAAGTGATAATTTCATGGGAAATCGTGATCCTAGTGTGTTTAATTTCTATTGATTACAACAAACGCGCGTTCTCAACATTTGATTTCATTTTAGAGTGTTAAAAATATTGTTTTGCATATTTAATTTAATTCAATCATAAAAATTGCATAATTAGGGCTTTCTTTCCAAAATTAGGGTTTTAATTAGGTTCACATTCACTTTAGTAATTTAGTTTCGATTAAGGCGACGATAGATAAAATTGAACTAATCAATCTATGTGAGACGATATTCGGACTCATTTAATCCACTTTATTACTTGTTAACGAACCGTACACTTGCGGTAGTTTTAAATCGAAAGAAATAATTTCGTGAACACTCGTCTTGCCATGTTCTACTTATCTGACCTCGAGCTCTTGGCATGTGAGGTGGTTTTCTCCCTTCCACCATTCTTTGCAAACCTCCCTATTGACTTTGCAGCTTGAACATTTTTAATACTTTATAGCACCCATCTGTGTTATGATTCTTGGGGAGATGTATCCTACAAAATTTTGCTTTTTGGTCCTTGGAAAGGTATGATCTTCGTTTGCTTTGGATGTGAGAGCCGGTGATATTGTGTGGACCCTATCCCTAGATTCCACGAAACGCAAATTCTGTTGTTTTGGAAATTTTAAAGTATATGTGAAGGTCTTACCTTTAATTTTCTCGGTTCGCTCTTTCTCTGTCTTCATTTGGTTAGCGATAGTATCTTTTGTCTGAGTTTCAGTTTGAATTAGATTCAAGAACTGGTACTAAGAATTAGGATTTTTGTTGCAGACATCACTCCAGAAGAAATCTCCATTAGAAAATCATTCCATAAGCAGGGGCGGACCCAGACAACTTGGCTTAGGGGGGCAAAATTAAATTTATAGGGTATCTTCTAATAAAAAAAAACTAAGGAAAAAAAAAAAAAAAAAGCTAAGCAATATTTTTTTTTCCCCCAAAATCTAGGGGGTCAATTGCCCCTATAAAACCCCCCTAGTTCCGCCCCTGTCCATAAGCCGTCTCATCCGAAATAGTTTCACATGCTATTAATTCGGCATTGAATTGTGAAAAAGAGCATTTTAGAGATTCTCCTTCCTCCTGCCGCATGGTCCGTCTCTTTTGACAAGAGAACTAGCGATGTGTTTTTCTTCATTTGCTCTTGAATTCTCCCGCCACTCGTTTGTAGGATTTTCAACTTTTGCGCGCAATGATATGCTTTTTGCGGCTAACATATTCAGACTCCCTCTCATTTCTTGTATTGTTTTAGCAATAGAGACCTTCCTTTTCAAGCGGTGGCATTGAGCCGGAGAAATACTGGCTGTAAGTTTGAGCGATTTTTTCTCTTGCTGACATTTTAGGTTGGCGTCACTATTCATGAGCTTGTCACTGCTATATCCCCTAACTATAGCATTTGGCAATGACGACTACTCTAGATTTCTTTCCACATGATTCAATTCTTCCATATCTTGAATTTTTTTAGTTATAATGGAATTTTGTGTTTACTTCGTTCTAATTTTCCATAGACAACGTCAATTTGTTGACGGTAAAAACTTAATCAAATGATTTTATTAACAGACAATTACAATCAATGTATATAGTAAATACAATCAACAAATCATCTTACCTAAGTTTGCTAATCTATATGTTTAAACAAGAACAAGAGGAAAAATATCTATTTGAGAAAGATATCTAAATTGCATACTTTCTTCAAATGGGGAGGGTATTTATAGATTTCTCTCCAATTTGTTGGGATAGTTTGGTTATTTTTACTTTGAAACTGGTGAATGATCCTTATTGGTAGTCTGATAACTGATTTCGATTAAGAGTCGCGTTTTATTTATTCACGCATGTGCTCTTTATTGACATCTGTTCACGAAATTATTTATTTCGATTCAAAACTCACCGCAATTACACGGTTCGTCAACAAGTAGTAAAATGGACTATAAGTCCAAGTATCGATCCCACAATGATTGAATTAGTTCAATTAAACCTATTATGACTTTAACCAAAACACGAAAGTGAAATTGATGTGTTGTGATTTAGCTAAGGATATGTAAACTACAATGCAATTATGAATGAAAAATTATATTAAATGCAAAATAACTTGGATGCAATTTAACTCGAATTTATATAATTAATGAATTTACTAACGCACTAGGATCACGAATCCCCAAGCAATACCCGTTCAATTTTCAATCGTGCAAATTTGACACACAATTCGAATCAATATTCATATTTTAATTTAGTAATCTCTCTCGAGCAATGCCAAACCTATCCCACTATGTGATTCGACTATATCTCTATGACGAATACTAACATACCGAAATGCATTATAAATTCATGAATATCCAATAATTCACACAAGGCATAGAGGTATATTTATATCCCTTATCGGACCCTATGATGATTTATACTATGTCGAACCTATTTTCCTCCTTTCGAATGCATAAAATAGGTCACCACAATCATATAATTACGTGCACAATAATCATATAAAAATAAAAATATAATAAATCATTCAATTCCGAAACATGTATTTTAATATGTCAAAAATCCAAAATAAAAAATCAAACATAGTATTACAAGATTCATCGATCTCCTAACAATGAAAATTCTAGCCTAACATGCTAAAAAGAAGAAAACATAAAAATAGTTGAAGAAACGTCATCACCTGAATCAATCTTCAATCGAATCTTCACTTGACGCGATGTTGTCCTCTTGTTCTTTCTTCGTTTCTCCTTCAAAATCTCTCAAAAACTTGTAAAAACGGTGTCCCCTACATTCTGGTCGAGTTTTTGTTTATATAGAACCCTAAAAATATCATTTCCATAAGAGTTTCGGTGGAAAAAGGAAACTATAATTTTATCCGAAAATTGCTCTATATGACCGCATAGAGCATCTCTATGCGGTCGCATAGAGCAAAAAGTTTGGGGCCATTTAGCTTCGGTCTGCCTCTATGCGACCGCATAGAGGGTAGTACTATGTGGTCGCATAGTGCTACCAACTATGAAATGTGTTCATTTTGGTCCTCCTACTTGAATCCTTCACTTGTTGACATCTTTTCTTCATTCTTTTCATTCCATTATCCCAAGATATCATTAATTGACAATTGGCTTAATCAATTTCTCGATTTGTTCATCGGGTCAACTTTTGGATAATTGCACCTTGGTCCCTGAACTTTCACTTTGTGTCATTTTAGTCCTTTTCACGTCTTTTCTCCTGAATTTCACCATGTTCATCGTTGTTCCCTACAATTCACAAATGTAACGAGATTAAGTCACAATTTAATTATTTTGTTCGTTATTAAGTCATGTTTGTGACTTAAATAAGTGTGCAAAAACACACTTATCAACATCTAAAGCCAGCATGTTCATGTTGTATGGTTCGCGACCCTTGGGCAAACCCTATGCTTTTAATCCTTTTTACATGTTATTTTTGTATTTCCTGTGAGGGATATTTTTAATGAACCGGCGTTGTCCAAACACGCGGACTTCTCTGCTAAGTCTGACATAAAGTATCCATTTCAGTATGCTGATAACCGACAACAAAATGCATCACCCAATAGTGATACTTCAAATCGTGCTATAGATGAAAGATATCGTGGATACACATCATCTTCGTCCAAAACCTTTCCAATAGCTTGATTCTTGGTTGGATATTAATCCTCACAAAGTCATTTCCAAGAAGTCCACATTGATAAGATGACTTGGAATTATACGAAAACAGTGAGAAAGATGGTGATTTCCTTTATTACCAATACAAGTTCACAATATCACTAGCTAATAATACACTCTCGCGGAACCCCGTTGTCCTCAGAAGCCTCGCCATCTGAAAATCCCAAAACGTAAGCTCCCCCTTCACCGTCTTCATCACTCTCAATATCCTCTCTGTTATATCTTCTTTCAATGTACACCTGCGCTTGCCTCCGGTGCAGACGCAGAACATGCATGATCACGTCGGGAGTGAGAGACACCCGTGAATGGTCCTCTCGCCCTCTTTTATTAGCTTCCATTATCTGTTCATTAATCCGCAAATTGGTAAATGTCAGCAATGGGAATTCAAGTACGTGAAAAGCAAGGTGCCTGCTTAAAAGTTGTACCTCGAGAACATTTTCAGGCAGAGGTTCGGAAACATTCGTAGATGGAGCCCAGAGCTTTATGCTCTTCTCTAGTCCACAGGTGGCAAGGACAGGAATGATGGGGTGGGGCTCCAGCTGATTTACAATGTGTCTATCGCCAACCATCAAACGAACAAGTTCTGCTCCCTTCTTCTTCCAGATAAACACATGACCACAATCTGACCCGCTTAAGACGTATTCATCATTTGGACCAAAGAAATTCACACCTTTAACTGTCTGTGAATTCCGATGACCAGAATAAGTTTGTACTTCTACCAATTTTTGCAAATCTTCAGGCTGTGAAGCGAAGGGATTAGGGCCCAATCCCAAATTTTTTTGGAACAAATATATGAGCTCGTCATTGTAGGAGATGAGCAGTTCACTTGTGTGGGAGTAAGCCAGTGCTGTAATATGAACATCGTTTGTCCGAATCAAGTGACGAGGGCAAAACGTGTTGAAGGGGCTTCCTTCTTTAGTTGAGGCACCTAATTGGTACTTTCTTATGTCATAAACACGTGCATACGCATCAGCACCTCCTACACCAAAATAATTAGGATTCCTTGGGTCGATGACAATTGCATTTAGCCCAATATTACTGCTTGAAGACTGCTTGTCTTCTGTGAACGATGAGCAATTGAAAAGCTTCGTAGCGGATTTACTCCGTAAATCATACTGCAAAAGAGAGAGAAGCCAGAGGTGATAAATTATTAAAAGGAAAACTTTTAGAAACACAAGAACTTAGAAAGCCCACGTGTTGGACAAAGCCATCTTCGCCGCAGCTATAAAATATATAAGGACTTCCGGGTTCCACAGCAAGATTGTGCACACGACCTTGGTGCTTGGCCAATCTCTTTGTCTCTAGCTGACCATTCTCCAACACCTCGCCAAGCCTGACCTGCAATGGGAAATTTTTTTTAACACAATTAGATATATTTATGCCTCACTCAAGTCAACGGAGATTCATAATCAATGGGGTCATTTAAGGAGGAGAACTTGTTCATAGTGATACGACTGAATGCAAACCTCTCTCTCTCTCTCTCTCTCTCACACACACAAAATAACAATATTTACTAACACAAGAAACACTCGATGTATGTTTCGGTTGTATTTTATATTGTTGCATTTGCAGGTACAATGCGAACCAGTGGGGTTTGCAATCAATTATTAAATAATCCAACTAATGATCTTTACAAGAGGGAACGAATAGCAAGCTCTTGTTGCCACAAAAACATTACATAAAAATAAATTAAAAAAATAAAGATAGGGATAACAAGTGTGAGAGAGAAACAAAGTTACAGAGAGGTATTAAAAGCCCTTCTATTTCCATAAGAACAGAGCTGATCTTAATCAAGCTTGCCCAAACACAGTGCAAGATGAAAGGAGGATTTTTTTCTTTCACTACTAATTATAGCATAAAATTTTTTTCAATACAGTCCCACAGAATCAAATTTCTATATGAGGACATCTTGTTGAAGAATTAAGAAATGACTTTTTTTATTATGAATTGTCCAAAATATATTGCTCTGCATTCTAAAAAAGGGGCAAGTCATAGCTGTGTCTTGTAGTAATGGCCTTTGGCTGAAACAGACAGAAATTGGGCATGACAAAGGAAAGTAACATCAGATCTTTCACCATTCATTTTCATTCTTCAAACTCATTATTCATTTCTTTGTTTCCTCTCTTTCTTTTATCCTCGTGAATGTCTATAAACCATCAGACACTTTGATGTAGGTTCAATTGGGATTTCAGCAGTCAAATTATAATCAGCAGAGAATCAGCAGCAGAATAATAAGAAATAGGCAGCAAGAAAGGGGGAGCAGCGGAGAGAATGGGGGAGAAGACCGGAGAAGACACAAGGGAGGAGAAGGGGAGAAGAGGGAAAACTCATGCAACAAACCAAGCCATTTACTTCATCAATTCATTAACTGTCCCAAGTAAACTTGTTGAAGATATGTTGAAGGCATGAAGGAGAAAGTTTCGTGACAAGGACAGTAAACTTGTTGGGACCTTATTCCAAGCTGCATAGTTTGGTGCGTATGGAAAGAAAGAAACGGGCACTGTTTTAATGATGAGATAAAGACTTTAAAGAAGTTTAGAGAATTATTTTATTTGATATTGTATAATTGGTTTAATGCTGCAGCTTCTAGTCACATAGATGGATTGCCTAATTTCATGACGTTTATTTCTTGTTTAAGTGTATAATACACTTCCTGTGTATTACCTTTTGATTAATAAAATATTTGATTACTTAGCAAAAAAAAAATCATTAACTGTCCCAAGTAAACAACAAAACAAAAATAAATAGCAAACAAAACCTTAAAGATAAAGGGCTTGGGCCAAACCTATCATACAAGACTAATTACGTAATTAAGAGTCCAAACATAAATAAAGGTCTTTGATGTAGGATCAATTGGGATTTCAGTAGTTAAATTATAATTAGCAACGGAATAATAAGAAATAGGTAGCAAGAAAGAGAAGAACCGGAGAAAATGGGAGGAGAAGACATAGGGAGGATAAGGGGATAAGAGGGAAAACTTAGGCAACAAACCAAGCAGTTGACTTCATCAATTCATTAACTGTCCCAAGTAAACAACAAAACAAATATAAATAGCAAACAAAACCCTAAAGATAAAGGGCTTAGGTCAAACCTATCATACAAGCCCAATTACGTAATTAAGAGCCCAAGCATATATAAAGGTCTAACAAGAAAAATAAATAAAATGGATGCCCACATCAACTCTCTCGCGTTGAGAGAAAACTCGACCCCGTCAAGTAGGTAATCACAAAATACTGCAGTCAATTTGATACCAAAAATGCTTCAAGTCATGCCATAGGCAAGATCTCTCCGAAGAATCAAGTATCGAAATTCCATGATTGATAGTAATGAAAATTGCAGCTTATTCCCAAGAATATGATTTGACCAAGGAGGACGATATTTCTTTCTAATCAAGTACTAATATTGAATTCCAAATAACCAACAGTCATGCACCTCATCTCCAAAATTTTCACATGATTGTGCATAATGAGGAGAACAAGAAGCTAGCATCGGAAACTGGCCTATAGAGACAAAGGATTGCAGCATCGAAGGCCCAAATGGGCCTTTATTGGGAAATAATTCTTCTACATTGAAAATATAACTTTCATTTAAGCAAGATGGTCAGTCAAATGGAGAACCTTTACACGAGTGATCCAAAAACTTTTTCTTCACATTTTTAGGAAATCGGATCAAAGAGACTTGCAATAAAGTATAGTACTTGTCAATAGAGTACTCTAATTTATATTGCACATCGAAAGTAAACTAAAAAATTTTATGATTGAAAATGATTTGATCTTTTGACTTGGCATGAAATTTAAGAACATTGCCAACATAATGATGAGTTAGCACAGCATGTCAACAATTAGTGGCAACATCCTAATGTCAATAGGAAGAGTGTGCAGTAGGGTAATGACCATAGAAAACGTGGCAACCCGTGGAGTCTTATGTAATTGAGGAAGAACTAATATAAAGTCAACATGAAAGTCATGCAACATAGTAGGCACAAGATTTAGAGCATCTGAAATGTTTGACTTCGATGGCATTGTTTTAGGTATTATCGCAATTGTGTCAATGTTAAGTGTATCGACTACAGGTGTGTTCAAAATAGGGGACACATTACACTATTCACAACTCTTGACTTCTATAAAAATGGAGGAAAGAACTGCACTATAATCATCTAGACAAACCCTTAAAAATTTTATGGTTTGTGACAAGGTTTGATTGTATCAGCACACTTCTCAAAAAGTCTTTCCACCACACTAAGGCCATGTTTGATTGGCCCTTTTTCCATGGAAAATAATTTCATTTTCTACCAATTCTGTGTGTTTGATAGCAAAATTTTTTCATGGAATTCATTTTCCATTTTTTTACCACACGTGCATTTTCCATGATTTGGTAGCAATGGGAACAAATTTGATCAACAATTATAAAAATTTTCATCCATTTAGTTGACAATTTTCATGAAAAACAAGGTTAAACGAACACCAAAAGATAAAAAATTTCAATATTTTCTGGTGAAAAATTATACCAATCAAACACATTAATTGACAATTCCCATAAAACAAGTTCTAGGCAATTCATTTCCCTGAAATTCGTTTTCTTTCCACCCAAATTCCATCATTGCAATCAAACGGACCCTAAATGTAATAGGAGAAACATCTTTGTGTTTATTTTGAACACTATCCAAAAGAAGGGCAATCAAATCTAGAGGAATATTGTCACTTTCTTCTAATGTAAAGGTCATGATAATCTCTATGGATGTGAAGACATTCCCTAAATGATTTCTTTTTAGAGCCACAAGGAAGTGTTTGAACATGTTAATTATCGTACGTTCACAATCTAGGTCCAACATGATAAGGCAGTATTTCGCATTAGACATGGTATCTAGTATCCTAACTACCGTAGCATACAAATTGATGGATGTGCTCGTGAGATATGCATATGATGATATAATCAAGGGAGAAATATCTTGCATTATTTCATCACAAAAGGGGGGGATTGGGTGCTGTTACCAAGACAAGAAACAACTGGTACTTGTCTAGCAACTGCAGGATGTCTTAATAGCTTATTTGAAACCAATGCCATGCTAAGTGTATTAATAGATGTAAGCATGAAAACAGAAGATAATTGGTCTACTCGTGAAAGCAAATACTCAGTGTGCGCAACTAACAATAGGAGTTCATTAGAAGGCAATGAAAATTGAAGAAGTTTGGTCCATTTGTCAACAAGTGGACTCCTAACGTTTGATATTCACATCATAACATTTTTTTTATTGACAAGCCAAGGCACTAAAATAAAAGCATATATTCAATATAATAAAATTGTTCCCTCAAGGGACTTACAAGAGTCAAAGAATGCTCCAATTGCAATTTTCAGATTGGCACGGGCTATGGTGGCTAAGCTGTCAATCAACATAATTAAAAGATCACCTATGAATAATGATGGAAATTTCTCTCTCTCTTTTTTCTTTTTTTCCCCCATTCACTTTCTCTTTTCTGTCTTTTTTTCTACTTTCTGTTTTCTTTTCTTTTTTTAACAAGATCAAATGAAATTAGATATAAACAAACAGGGCAAAAATTAGCCCAAATTACAACTTAGGGAAGAAATAGAAATAGAACAGAGGCCCAACTCGTAAAGTCGATTGTGTCTGGGCTGCCAACGAGGTGACTTAACCACCTGACTGGGGTGATAATGGACGTCGGCATCGCGAGGGTAACCAGCGACTGATGTCCTTGGGTGTCATGAGTGGAGGTGAACTCGAAGGAGGCGATGGCTATACTTCTAGGTTACTAGGACGATGACCAGGTTTGATGAAGGTGACTAGATATGATGCAGTGACTGTAGGAGATAAGTATTTCCCAACCTGGCTGGAGGATCAAAGTAGATGTTGTGGAAGTGGGCCGGTTCAAAGTGTTTGTTTAGTGGGTTCGGTTAGGGTTCTTGTCTATAGTGGGCTACATGGGCTATATAAGTATTTGGGCCTGTTGGATTTGGGATTAATTCGGTGGTAAAGTTAAATTAACAAATAGGCATATGGGCTGGGTATATGGTGTGTTTTGTACATGTTGTGCTATTATGGATGTAGTGAGCTGTTGGTTTGGGAAGGGGGAGGGGGTTGGCAATTGCAGATTACTCTATGTACAGGTATTGGGCTGTTGATGTAGGTTGTGGGAAGATTGCTAGTTGTCAACAGTTAGAGGAGAGGCTGAGTATTGAGATTTAGTGGTTAATGGGATATGGGAAATTATATGGTGGCGACTAGTATGGAAGCGTTGTGACTAGGTTTTGAGAATAAACAGGTTGATTATTTGGAAGCTGTCTGGATTGGGGTCTGTGTGGTGCATCAAGAATTAACTTTCTGGTTGATATGATAGTGCACCATAGGGTGGTATATATAGGAATAGGTTCTGTGAATTTTTGATTTGTGGGTTAATGAAGATGTTTGTGAGATTTGCAATAGCGGGTATCGGTGTATGTAGAAGATGATGCTGGTAATTATTGGACAACGGTCGAAGCTGATGCAGAGTCAACAATGGCAACTACGAAGTAGTTGTGTTGGTGGCGGTGTCTGCTAATTTGGGACGATGATAGAGTTGAAATTTTCTTTACTCTTTTTTCTAGCATATTTTTTTGACGAAGAAAACCAGGTTTGGCTCTAATACCACTTTGATGTAGAATCAATTGGAATTTCAGCAGTTAAATTATAATCAGCAGCAGAATAATAAAAAATAGGCAGCAAGAAAGTGTGAGAATCGGAGAGAATGGGGGAGAAGACCAGAGAAGACAGAGAGGAGGAGAAGGAAAGAAGAGGGAAACTTAGGCAACACTGAGCAATTTACTTCATCAATTCATTAACTGTCCCAAATAAACAACAATACACATATAAATAGCAAACAAAACCCTAAAGAAAAAGGGCTTGGGCCAAACCTATCATACAAGCCCAATTACGTAATTAAGAGTCCAAACATAAATAAAGGTCTAACAAGAAAAATAAATAAAATGGATGTCCACATCACACATATATTATTCTCTTGCCAAAAAAGCATATATTTAGTCATAATGTTAAATAGATTCCAATGCACCTGTCACCCCTCAACAACAAATACATTATTGAAGCAATAAGCCCCATCATCCATTTGATACTAAATTTTTCAGTACTTCACCTATACTACGGAAACTGAATGCATACTACGGCATATATTTACAAGAATGTAAATTAACGCCCAATTTGAAATCCTTCATCTAGTTACAATAGCTGCATTTGAAGGTTTTTTCTTTCAAATTAATTGGTAAACTAAGAAATTACTCTTACAACATAATCAACAGTTATACAGTGCGCTTTAAACTGCAAATGTATGGAGACTTACCTGACAATCGGCAGATGAAGTTACTATTTTGCGATCATCTGTGAATGGCATGATTCTGGCCTGGAATATATTGTCCAAGTGACCAGATGGATATACAAATTTTAATTTCTGTGCTGCCCAATCCCAAAATATTATTTGTTTGTCATCAGAACCTGACACGAGAAGGTCACCACTGGAGTTGAACTCAATGGTATTTACACATCCTTGATGACCATTCAGTTTACCATATAGATCCATCCGCTTGACCAGGCTCTGCACAAGAAAAAAGAACAAAAGCTACCTTACATGATTTATCATCTAGAGCATAAAATATTTGGCATTCAAATCCATTATACTTGAATTAGAACATCGCTGACATAGAATTTAACAGGATATCTAAATTACCTAAATATAAATTGTGAAAACATGAATATATCGTGCCTTTACACATCTAACCGCAACGATTTTCCTGGAAATGTAGAAAGGCCAAACGCCCGGGATTTATGCCCTTTCTTAAAAGTCAACTAATGGTGAGTTATGCCTCATCTCAAGAGGAATAAACTGAATAACATATTTGCTTTACCTTTTTTAAAAAACTACTTCACTACAATTTCATAAGCAAACCCAAGATAACCCAGAAAGAAAACTTATAGGGATGAAAATATTTTATTGAAGGGAAGATTGAGTTCAATTTATAAAATAAAAATCACAGCAACAGACACGTTCCATTAATGAAGTGCTTGAATCAGAAATTCAGAGAGCCTGAAATTAGCGAATTTGAAGAATATTTCTTCCACAAGAATAAAGATATATTGCAGGTATAACACAATTCTTTTCATATTTTGATGAGAGACAGCATAGGTAAGAAATTAAGTCCATTCCCCGTCTTCATAAATAATTTTTCTGAAAGCAAAAGAGGAGAGTAACTGATTTTGTCATCAAATTGTTGCAAAACTCGTAATTTTTTTTCCTTGATAGACTGGACATCAATAGAATAGTCATAATCCTTTAAGAGTCTCTGATATTCATAGGCAGTCACGACCATACATATAGATAATCAATATTGATCTACACGAGGGCACGTCAGTGTAGCCAAAGAAGGTGTGTGACCTTATTGCATGTTCATAGTACCGAATAGGATTTAGAAAAATTAGCTAAATAAGCATTCCGCGCAATACTGTCAAATACAGTTTACCAAACATGTTCTTACAGCTATATCTCGACCCTAAAGAGTAAAGAACCTATTAATTTCATCATAGATCAAAACTCTCACTTTTACTCTCAAACAACCATTGAAAACTCCATAACACCATCCGATAAAAATTCAATCGGATCCACCAATCCATAAACTGACCCTATCAACAAACTCAAAAAGAAAGAAAAATTACATCAACACGTACCCTTCATTAAAAAAATAAAATAAACCATAAATCAGCTGAATTAACTTCTCAAAAAGTTTATGCGTAAGAGTAATCCGATAATACATAGAAAAGGTGAGTTGGGAGACCTGCGAAGCAGAGATGCGGCTGGAGAAAGTTGAAGGGGGAGAAAAACCCAACTCCCTCTTGAAGAATTCGATCAACCCATTTCCAGAATTCTTATATGGTTTCTCCATATCACCTCAGTTTTCGCTAGTGAAAAAGTGTTCCTACTGTATAAAACCGCACAAATAAGACACAGACACTGAAAGGACATTTGTAGAAGAAGCAGAAATATGAAACCAATAGGAGTTCATTATCAAATTAATAAAAAGTGAATTATACGAACATTTGGGTACAAAATATTCATTTTTAGGGAGGAACTGGAAAATTCATTACGCCTCATGATGACAGATTTGAGTAGAGCCTTCGAAAGAATGGACTGCTCGTTGTAAGTCGTCGTTATAAGGGGTAATTTTTAGTTTGGCTTAGTCAAAGGGCCAATTTTTCACTTTATCTATCACCAAAATGGCCTTTTATTGAGTAAAAGACAAAAATGTCCTTAAATAGTTTATACAATTACAAAAATAGAATTTTGTTTCAAAAGACAAAAATACCCTTAAGTTACAAATTAAAAAACCAAACATTTTTCACTTTATATTTAATTATTTATTTTAAACAATTACTCAAATTAAAAAAATTAATACATTTTTATCAAAATACATTTTTCTCTCTCTTCTTTTCAACCACACATTCTTTATTAAAATAATATTACACGTAAATCAAAAACTTTTTCTTATTTTTCAACCACACATTTTCCATCAATTTATTATTTAAAAATGCATTTTCACATAAAAATTCCTACCAAACACCCTCTAAATTTACTTTCTTGTTTAAATATTTCATTAATTAATTATCTTAATCAGTTATATATATTATTTATTTAATAATTAATTTCGTTATTTAATTATTTATTTAATCACTTGCTTAAATAAAAAAATTAATATTTAATTTGATTTCTCGTTTAAATATTTCTTTATTAATTATCTTAATTGGCCCTTATTTAATTATTTATTTTAAAACCTATTCAAATAAAAATTAATATTTAATTTAATTTCTTCTTTAAATATTTCATTAACTAATTATCTTAATTGGCCCTTATTTAATTATTTATTTTAAAACCTATTCAAATAAAAATTAATATTTAATTTAATTTCTTCTTTAAATATTTCATTAACTAATTATCTTAATTGGCCCTTATTTAATTATTTATTTTAAAACCTATTCAAATAAAAATTAATATTTAATTTAATTTCTTCTTTAAATATTTCATTAACTAATTATCTTAATTGGCCCTTATTTAATTATTTATTTTAAAACCTATTCAAATAAAAATTAATATTTAATTTAATTTCTTCTTTAAATATTTCATTAACTAATTATCTTAATTGGCCCTTATTTAATTATTTATTTTAAAACCTATTCAAATAAAAATTAATATTTAATTTAATTTCTTCTTTAAATATTTCATTAACTAATTATCTTAATTGGCCCTTATTTAATTATTTATTTTAAAACCTATTCAAATAAAAATTAATATTTAATTTAATTTCTTCTTTAAATATTTCATTAACTAATTATCTTAATTGGCCCTTATTTAATTATTTATTTTAAAACCTATTCAAATAAAAATTAATATTTAATTTAATTTCTTCTTTAAATATTTCATTAACTAATTATCTTAATTGGCCCTTATTTAATTATTTATTTTAAAACCTATTCAAATAAAAATTAATATTTAATTTAATTTCTTCTTTAAATATTTCATTAACTAATTATCTTAATTGGTTATGTACATTGTTTATTTAATATTTCTTTACTTTAATTAATTATTTATTTAATCACTTATTCGAATACAAAATTAATACTATATTTAATTTATTCTTCAAATATCTCATTAATTAATTATCTTAATTGGTTACATATATTATTTATTTAATATTTAACTATAACATAAATTACATGATGCATGAGAATATCTAATAGAGATGGAAGTCGAATATTAGGCACAATCACATTTTCAAAACATCGAACATTATTCAAGCATGTCGAAAATATATTTCTTCTACTAAATGAAGTCAAGTGAGAAGTTCTCGATTATAGTATGTTACTCTCTACCCAACGGATGTGTAATATCTATTTAAATCGTATGTACTCTCTATTTATAGTATATTATTGGTTTCCTCAATTTTCTCTATTTATAGTATGTTATTGATTACGTGAAAATTGACCCGACGAATATGTAATATCTATTTAAATTGTATGTACTCTTTATTTATAATATGTCACTGATTTCCTCAATTTTCTTTATTTATAGTGGGTTATATATGTAATTAAGAGTAATTGGTTATTTATTATATAATTACATAAAAATTAAAGTATTATAAACGTTTTAAAAAAATGTTTACGTTTTAAATTATTACAACTATGGATCACAATGTAAAAAAAAAAAAAAAAAAAAAAGCTTACATTTTAATGTGTGTTTGGTTTATCAGCTCTACTCAAGTCTGATGCTAAAAATTCAATATATTTCAATTTGATCCGAATCCGACGAAATTAATGGGAGATGGATTTAGGGTTTTAATCCGATGACCCAATCGAGATTCAAATTCGATAATTCGTTAACTAAATAAATCAAATATGGATATAGATCGATCCGATCCGATATCACTAAAACATTCCAAAAATGATATTTTAGACCTTCTATTATAATAAGTGAGCCCATCAATATAGTTCAAATATTTTTTAAAATAAATAATTAATTAAAATCTTGTTGGGGCTATGATTTTCAATGAAAAAATAAATAAATTTTTTTTTTCTAATTTTTTCAATTTTGGATCTAATTTCCGATAATATAGTAAATCGGATATGAATTTAACATTCAAATATCCGTTGGATTATTAGATTGGATCAAATAGGATAATTATTCTTAACAGATCGAATCGAATTTGAGTAGATCCGATCCATTTATAACCCTAACTTCAATGCAAAGATTCCACAATCGTCCTGATTCGAATTCTCGAAAGAGGTTGGGCAACGTACTGTCAACGAATGTTCTCTTCTTTGCCTCGATGGTGTACGGAAAAACAATGTGTTGTGATAGCAATCTAGTCCTCTTACTAACCATTTGTTTTGACACGTCAATAAACATATTTCTTACATAATGTCACTTTCATCGTCTTCTCCGGCATAATTATCACATTATCCAAACTCGCGACATTATCTGTCAAGTTGGGGGGTCATTTTCGGCATAGTTATGTATATTAATGTGTGTTTAGTTTATCAGCTCTATGCCACGTTCGATACTAAAAATTCAATGTACTTCAATTAGGGCTGTCAATAGATTGGATTTTGATCTGAATCCGATGAAATTAATGGGAGATAGATTTAGGGTCTCAATCGGAAGATCCAATCGAGATTCAAATCCGATAATCCGTTTACTAAATAAATCAAATATGGATATAGGTCAATCTTCTGATAAATAAATAAAATCTTGATTTATCTATTTTTT